GAGAGTGTTCTTTTTTACTTGAAGATGAGTGACGAAGGGACATCGATGGAGGATAATAAGGTAGATGGGACGAATGGGAGAAACTCTTCCCGGCAGTCTTTGCAAACACAGTAGGAGTACCTCCCGTGAGGCCACATGACCATAGAATTGTGTTGGAGGCCGGTAGCAAACCGGTGTACATGCGACCCTACCGATATCCTTATTTCCAAAAACAGGAAATCGAGAGGATGGTAACCGACATGTTGGCTCAAGGACTGATCCAGCCAAGCCGTAGCGCATATTCATCCCCAGTACTGCTGGTAAGAAAGCATGATGGGACATGGCGATTCTGCGTTGACTATAGGCGATTGAATAAGGTGACAGTGAAGGAAAAATTTCTAATTCTTGTCATTGAGGAATTGTTGGACGAGCTCCACGGGGTGAGGTTCTTCACAAAGCTAGACTTGCGATCCGGGTATCACCAAATCCGGATGCACAAGGATGACATTGAAAAAACGGCTTTCTGAACCCATCACGGACACTGTGAGTTCATGGTGATGCCATTTGGCCTCACCAATGCACCCTCGACATTTTAGAATTTGATGAATGACATCTTCAAGGGTCAGCTGCGCAAGTCTGTTATCGTATTCTTTGACAATATCCTAGTTTACAGCTCGACGTGGGAGGACCATCGGGAGCATGTCCGCCAGACACTAGGAATTTTGCAGCAGCAGTCCTTGGTTGTGAAGAAGGAAAAATGCAATTTTGGGAGGCGGGAAGTGCGGTACTTGGGGCATGTAATCAATGAGAATGGGGTAGGGATGGATGAGGACAAGATCAAAGCTGTGGTGAATTAGCCTCTGCCAACGACACTGAAGGCCTTAAGGGGATTTCTGGGGCTGTTGGGGTATTACAGAAGATTTGCCGCCTATTATGGGGTCATTGCTAGACCATTGACAGACCTGTTAAAGAAAAATAGCTTCAGCTAGACCATAGAGGCGTCTCAGGTATTTGAAAACCTCAAGGCAGCTCTAACTAAGGCTCCCTTACTGGCTTTGCCAGATTTCTCTCAGTCTTTTATAGTCGAGTGTGATGCATCCAAATCAGGCATGGGGGCTGTGCTGATGCAAGTGAATCAGCCGATCGCATATTTCAGCTCAGCGTTACGGGGAAAGGATGTTTTGATGTCCGCCTACGACCGCGAGCTGTTTGCCTTAGTTCTTACCGTCAAGCATTGGCGACCGTATCTTCTAGGAAGAAAATTTATTGTCCGCACAGACCATCGTAGCCTTAAATTTCTATGGGATCAACATATCATTACGGACACCCAACAAAGGTGGCTAATCAAACTCATGGGCTACAGTTTTGACATCGAATACAAGCTGGGGTGACACAACGTGGCTGCCGATGCACTCTCCCGTTTAGAAGAGGTGGGAGAACTGCATAACATCACACTGCCAGACCTGGTGTGGTGGCGGACTCTACAGGATGAACATGAGGACTTGGAAGAATTACGGGAGCTGAAGAAAAAAATCGAGGCTGAGGAAGCGGTGGGACCATGGGAAATTAGTCAAGGGGTTGTATTTGTCAAGGGGCGTGTGTATCTGCCACCTACTTCGACTCTCATTCCCACAGTATTACAACAGTTCCATGGCATGGGGCATGAGGGTTTCTTAAAGACTTGGCACCGCTTAAAAGAGGTATTCTTTTGGAAAAACATGAAGGCTACAATTAAAGAGTGGATTAAACAATGCGACGTGTGTCAAAGGAACGAACGTGACCAACAATCCCCGGCTGGACTGTTGAATCCCTTACCTATTCCAACCCAGGTGTGGTCTAAAATATCTATGGATTTTGTGGAGGGGCTTCCTAAGTCTCGTGGCAAGACGGTTATTTTTGTAGTAGTGGATAGACTGTCCAAAGCCGCCCCTTTCTTGCCATTATCCCATCCTTTTACAGCTTCAACGGTGGCTCAATTGTTTTTTGACCAAGTTTTTCACCACCATGGAATGCCAACGTCGATCGTTTGTGACAGGGGTGCGACTTTCACCAGTAAGTTTTGGCAGGAACTCTTTTGGCTTCAAGGGACTAACTTCAATTTTAGTTCCTCCTACCACCCCCAGACGGACGGCCAAACTGAGGTGGTCAACCGAACCCTCGAAATGTATCTCCGTTGCTTCTGTTTCGCTCAGCCCCAAGACTAGATGAAGTGGCTTTCGTGGGCTGAATGGTGTTACAACACCAGTGTGCCTTCCACCACTAAACTCTCTCCTTTTGAAGTGGTGTATGGTCGACCCCCACCAACCTTGCTCTTTTATGTGCCGGGCACGGCTCGGGTGCAAGTTGTGGAAGATGAGTTGCGAAACAGGGATGTGTTGTTGATTAGTCTCAAGCAGCGCATCCGCGAAGCCCAGAATCGCATGAAACAGGTTTATGATCGCCACCACAAGGACGTAGAGTTTGCCGTGGGGGATTGGGTGCATCTCCGCCTATAGCCTTACCGCCAACACTTTGTACAGCGCCGGGTGACTCATAAGTTGTCTCCACGTTTCTTCGGACCATATGAGATTGTGACTCGCATTGGAAAGGTGGCATATCAACTGGACTTGCCGCCCTCTAGTCGGGTACACCCGGTCTTTCATGTTTCCATGCTTCGCAAAAAGCTTGGGCCAGTGGACACGGTTGGGGCCGACCTTCCAGCGTGGGAACCTTCACCTGCGGATATCCGCGCTGCCGTCCTACAAACTCGAAAGGTGGGTGATACTCATGAGTTTTTGATTCAATGGCAAGGCAAACCACAAGAAGAAGCTATGTGGTTAACGGCCTCAGAACTGCAAGCTGACTTTCCTACTTTTCAGCCTCCTTGAGGACAAGGATGTCGTGAGGGAGGGGGGTACTGTTACGGTCTGGTGAGACTATTACTACTTAAATAAAGCTGGACCTTATAATTGGCCTAGGTAGTATTCATATAGTTTATATCTTTGTGTTTTTGGTGATCTACTGGTTTACTAGGGTGATAGGCGATCGTGATAGCGTGAGAAGTGGTAAGCACTTATAATCGTTTGTTGGGTTCTGTGAGATCATGCAGAGCGGGAGTGAGAGAGAGATTCGGTTATGGGATATATATGTCCTAAGGCCTGATGTATGTTTTCATGTTTTTGATCATTCTTGAATGCAGAATTCTATTTGTCCATTTCTTTGTTGTCCTCTGTTATTTTTGCGCCACTTGACCAGGAACCATAGCTAGACGGGGCAGAGCAGCTGCAATTCCACCGGAACCTAACACTGTGGAGTAAGGTGGTGTTTGGCAACATTCTGAAGAAAATCCTTGAAGCCCAAAAGGAGCTTGCCTGGTTGAATAATCTTACACTTGGACTGATCATAAGAGTCAGATTTTAGAGGTTGAGAAGGAGTTAGATTGATTGCTTGCTCTTGAAGAATATTATTGGAAGCAAAGGGCACATTCGGAGTGGTTAAAAGGGGGTGATCGCAATACAAAAATTTTCCATGCGGAGGCTTCTCAAAGACGTAGTAAGAACACCATTGTGGGGGTTAGAGGATGGGAATGAGCTTTGGGTGAATAAAATTGAGAAAGTGGTTGCCATTCTAGAAAACTATTTTACGGAGATTTTCTCTATTTCTCTTCTGAATCATGATAGTATGGCGACTGCAATGGTGGGGTGGAGAAGGGGTTAACGTCAGAGATGTGTCATCTTCTTGATCTCCTCTTCACGGCTGAGGAAGTTAGGAAGCGATGTTTAATATGGGACCGTGGAAAGCTCCAGGTTCGGATGGATTTCATTCGGGCTTTTTTAAGATAATTGGAATCTCTTAGGACTGGATGTAACAAAGTTATTGTTAGTACCGGTTTGAGTCTTTTAACACTTTATAAGATAATATGAATAATGTAGAAACATAAAATAAAAGAAACACGAGAGAAATAGTATCGCGGTTCGGTAACAACTTACTCCGCGGGGTTATGCCCAAATGATGAACAATCCACTAAGAACTCTTTTACAATTCAATTGGACTTAATCTACCTGAGACTCCCTCTCTAAGAAGACGCCTATGAACTTGCAATTTTCCAATGGACTTGTACAGCGAGATCCCCTCGACTTTTTAACATTGGAATCCCTCCAACTAAGTTTTTCTCTCAAAAACACTCGAATCATTTCTCTTGAATACAAATGATCACCTCTCACACAACCCAGCAAAACTAATCAAAAGGTTTATAGAGATACAAGAGACTCTTTGAATAAATAAGCAAAAATGATAACAGCTTGATGACATCTTCAATTAATTCGTTGAACCAAATCTGTTGCAGATTCTTGTTACAACAATAACTGCAACATAGCTGTCACGGTCAACTTTCTCAAAACCATCAATCTGCTTTAATTCTGAAACCTTCTCGAAACTGATACATGAACCTGGACACGTTCTTGGGAGGCAGAGGAAGATCATCCAGCTATGAAATGTCCATCAAATATCAATCAAATCAATTTATCATCTTTGGATCAATAGTTGACTTTCAAAAATAGAAACTAAAATAAGTTTTCAGATCTTTCAGAAACCTTTCATAAAGAACTTGCCAGCTGCACATCTATTCTCAACCACAATCAACCATTATCAAAATAATGGCAATCACACAACGAATAGAATCAATACAAAATTCAAGAAACAAACCCAACAATCAATACAAAATTCGGGAAACAAATCCCAACAGCTATGCTTATTTTGAAAGCGTTCCAAATCAATGAGGTCCCTCAATGAAACTTATATGTGTTGATTCCTAAGATTAAAACACCGAAGAGGGTTTTGTATTTTTGGTCAATTAGTCTTTGTAATGTGGTTTATAAATTCGTTACTAAGACTGTGGCAATAGATTGAAGACGATGCTTCCAATGATTATTTCCAAAGAACAAAGCGCGTTTGTGTCGGGAAGACTTATTACCGACAACATTGTTGTGGCTTTCGAAGCGTTACACACTATTCGTGAGAAAACATGAGGTAAAAAAGGTTTGATGGCCCTTAAACTTGATATGAGTAAGGCCTATGATCGCGTGGAGTGGTCTTTTCTTGGTGTTGTTATGGATAGATTGTGGTTTTCAGCCAAGTGGATTGATAGGGTCATGGATTGTGTTTTGACTACAAGCTTCTCTTTTCTAGTTAATGGTCGGTCGGCAGGGAAAGTTACCCCATATCGGGGTTTAAGGTAAGGGTGTCCATTATCGTCGTATCTTTTTCTCCTTTGTGCGGAGAACTTTTCGGGGTTGCTAAGACATGCAGAGACGTCCGGGTCTTTAAGGGGGGTGGCTTGATCTCTTCGAGCTCCACGAATTAATCATCTTTTCTTTGCAGATGATAGTATTATTTTTTGCAAGGCCGAGGTGGAATGCTTTACCAGGATTAAGGAGACTTTGGAGACATATGAGAAAGCATCTGGTCAAGTTATCAATTTTCAAAAAAGTTCGGTTTGTTTCAGTCCAAATTTGGACGATGGTCGGTGGGGCTCAATTCTTGAAGTTCTTAACCTTCCCCATAATTCAGAGCATGATTCTTATTTGGGTCTTCCTTCAGTTTTAGGCCAAAATAAGAAACGCGTGTTTGACAAGATTAGAGAGCAGGTGTGGAGGAACTTACAAATGTTGGAAGGTAAATTCCTTTCTGTTGGAGGTAGGAAAATTCTCATTAAGGCAGTGGCCCAAGCCGCCACCACCAATGCCATGATAATACCTTCCACTTTGTGTGATAATATCCAATCACTTATTTCTAAGTTTTCGTGGGGAGGTTGCAAGGAGGATAGGAAGATCCACCAGATGCGATGGAGTCTTTTATGTCGAGCTAAGGGTGAGGGTGGATTGGGTTTTCGAGATATGGAAGGTTTCAATAAAGGTCTAGTAATTGCTATGCAAGGCTGGCATATTGTTACATGTCCGAATTCTTTTATGGCACGTATCCTGAAAGCAAAATACTTCACATCCTCTAGCTCTCTAGACGTGCCAGTTGGATATAATCCATCGTATGTGTGGCGCAGTATAGTTTAGGGAAGGGAGTTGTTAGGTAAGGGGATTCGTTGGAAGTTTGGAGATGGGAACTGCATAAGAATTTTTTCGGACCCATGGATTCTACACCCTTACACATTTCTTCCCATTACAAGATCCACCCCGGCAATCAAGGACTTGAAGGTATCGGATTTATTACAGGGCTTTCGGTGGGAATTGCATATGATTGAAGATACTTTTTGGGACGTGGATCGGGATGTTATTCTGGAGATTCTAATGGGTTCCCATCGACGAGAAGATTTCTTGGTGTGGCACTTTGATGACAAAGGGAATTATTCTGTCCGGTCAGGATATCAAGTGGAGATGGAATGTCGGGATGTTTCTAGTAGCAGCGGGGTGTGGATCATAGATGGTGGTCTCGTCTATGGAAGCTTCGGATTCCTAATAAGGTAAAAATTCAGCTCTGGCGAGCTTTTCATGAAAATTCTTCCAACCAGGGCTCATTTAGTGAAGCATAGAGTGAAGTGCTCAAGTAGTTGCCCGAGATGTGGAGAAGAGATGGAAACCGCAAGTCATCCTCTTTGGTACTTTCCTGCTGCATTAGAAGTGTGGATGAATTCAGCTATTTGGACTCTGGTAAGTTCTTTTTCTTCCGGGCCGTTTGCTGCTTTATGTTTACATGCGGCTAGTCAGGCTAAGGAAGAGGAATTGGATATCTTCTGTATGATTACTTGGAGTTTATTGCTTGATCGAAATGGGAGGGTGTTTGCTAATAAGGCTATGGCTCCAGTAGATGTGGTTAATCGGGTAAGACAGGTGTTAAGTGATTATTTGAGTGTTCTTTCGGTGGATTCACGGGCTGCAAATGTGCCGACTTCAGCAGCTAGTAATTGGCGTCCTCCGGTGGCTGATGTGGTCAAGATAAAAGTTGATGCAAATGTGCATCAATCATTGAATGCAATAGGCCTTGGAGTGGTGATTAGAGACAAGGAAGGAATTGTTTTTGCAGCCATAGCAAAGAGGATGGATAGACGTTTTTCCCCTCATATAGCAGAATGTTTTGCAGCAAGAAAGGGTGTGGTGCTGGCTGAGCGTCTTGGCTTTCACGAGTGGATCCTTGTATTAGATGCTATCAATGTGGTCCGCGCCATTCAGGGGTTTCCTCGTCGTGGTTCTTAATCAAATATAGTCGCAGATTTTTAAGATTGTGTCTCTAGAGTGCAAAATGGTATTGTTTGTCATATTTCCCGTTATGGGAATACAGTGGCCCACTTTCCAGCTAATTATATTTTTCGGTTGTCTACAAATCTCTTTTCTGTCGATGGTACTGTTGATGTTTTCTGTTGTCTAGCTAATTTGTATAATCTTTCCAAATTAATTTAAAGTTTCTAGTTTTCTCCTTAAAAAAAAAAAAAAAAAACAAGAAGAACAACTCCATTTTATTTGATATTCGAGAAAAAATTTGTGGTTGTAGAAATATTATAAATCACAATTCCACATTTAACTTTCACCAGAGTTTAAATTAGAGTTGCAAGTTTGGGCGGGACTAAGACCATTTGTAATGTAAATGTTAATGCTTTAGCATAAAAAAATATGATATCATGGTATGTTATTTTTATTTTTGCTCAAATACATCATGTTATTTGAAATACTAAATCTACTTTTTTCTATAATTATTAAGCTTTAGAAGTTGTAAAAGTAACTTTTTATTTTTAAAATAATTAGAAAATACTAAAGTTGCATTGGTTACATGAAAAAAGTAAATATTTCAACTAATAGTAATCAAATGCTAAATTTCTGATATGATATACTTGGTGGGAAATTAGCCACAAAGTATAACATATGAGAAATTTGACACAACAAATAGCATTGCATTGAAGAGTATTTTTTGCACTTAAATGTTAAATTTACAATTGACACATTAATTATAGCATTGCATTGAAGATACTCTAAATAGACAGGCCTGAGGTCTTTCATGTTGGCCCTCGCGCAGTCTAAATCTTTAGATTGGGATGGGTCGAGGTGTTGAGCCTAAAAATTTATTTGGCCTGGGTCGGGCTAGCCTAGACACCATTTCTTTGAAAATTTTTTAAAATACCCTATAAAGTTTCAGGGCGGCTTAACTCGGCCTTAAGCCTGTCAAACTTTAAGGTTGGGTTTGGCCTAGCCAACCCTCCTTTTTAAGCCTGAAATTTCCATTCGGGCCACCAAGCCTGCGATGGGTGGGCCGAACTTTCACCTTTAGCTCAAATCCTCATCCCGAAATTTTAAGAAAATATAATAAATTAAATTTGAACAAAAAAAAAAAATTCATGTGATTTGATAGGACATAACAGGGATAGCTCTTAAATTGGATTAAATAGTAAATAACATAGGATGTCTTTGTTTCTTGTATGAAATCATATGAAATCATAATCTATGAGTCGTTTTCTCATGGTAGTTTCCTTTTTTTTTTCCCCTTGCATAAGTATAATAGCTTAGTTGGGATATTTCTTACAGATTTAGATTTGGTTGAGGAGATCCAAAAAAAAAAAAAAAGAATTATACTAAGTTGATCTTTGTTTTCTTATCATGTAGTTTTGCTTGGAGGTCCATTTTCCTTCTGTTTTTATTTATTTTTTTGTTCATTAACAAGATCCTTCCACATTTATTATCTAGTTTCTTTCTTCCTGTACAAAAGAGTGAAGATCTGCTGGATACAAAAGAAAAAAGAGGTGTTGTGTTTTTTCAATTTTTTTTTTTCTCCAGCAACCCTTAGTTACATACCTCAGTCATATAGAAATGTAACCATGTTTCTTTGAGTTCAGCTGGCTTCACCAACTCTATCCCTCCAAGTTCATCAGGGAGCCAATCTTCAGCATACTCGCAGCCACCTCCTTTGGCATCTGCCCCAATGTTCATCCCACAGAGCTCCGAAAGGGTGGACCCAGGTACTATCAAGTCAGGCTTTCCCTTCGGCATGGTGACAAGGGATGGATTACACAATGGAACGCAATGGATGGAGAGTTCTCAAAGGGAAACCAAGAAAAGCATGAACTATGATCCTCCTTTGCTGCATAATGACCTTCAGAACCTTGACTTATACAAGCCTGTGATGGGTGGATCACGGGATCATTTGTCCGCAGACTTCCCTGCCTGTACGTCTGGACGCCAGACGCAAGGGTTGTCAGCAGCAGATGAGTTCCCACACCTGGATATTATCAATGACCTGCTTGATGATGAGCACGGTGTCGGAAAGGCATCCATTGTAAGCTCAGGTTTTGAGCCCCTAAGCAATGGGCCAAACCCCTTAATTCGGCAGTTCTCATTTCCCGGCGAATTGAGTGTAGCTGATAATGTGGGATCCTCTACTAGTTCTTGTAGGTTTGAGCGAACACGTAGTTATCATGATGAACGATACCATAGGAGATATAGTGCTCCAGGAAGCCACTATGAACCGGTTAGGGAATTCGTTCCACAGACTAACCCTCTACCTTATGTAAATGGGCAGATTGATGGCTTGATTCAAAACCAGTGGCAGATGCAAGGTTCTGATATGTCTTTAGTTGTAATGAGGAACGCAGAACATGACGGTTATGTTAGGAATAGTGTCCTAGAAGTATGAGATGTAATAGGATATTTATTATTTAATTAATAAAAGAGTTTATTCATCATTTTATGTGCATATATTTATGAATATTTTATGAATATCAAATGAAAATTCCGTGATTGTTTATGTAACCTTAAACATAGTATATAAGTGTTATATACGAGAGGATAGTGTTTAAGAATGATAATCAAAAACATTGTTCATGATGAATTTAATTAAAGTTCAGAATCCTTACTTAAAACATTATTAATACATGTTATTCCCATTTAGAATGGAACGGTGTTATCCGCACTGTTAATATGGCGAGATATTGAATGAGTGTATTTCGCATAATAAGATTATGTGGAACAAGGACAAAGACACAATATGAATTTCTAATAATTTCCGTTAAGCATAGAAATTCTAATTGAGTCTACCGATGGTTATATATAGGATGATCTTAATCCTGAGTTCTTAACAAACTCCTATTTATGGATTTATGTCTTTTGATTTACTCGGTACGGATTCTGAGACCCTGAATCCTATTCCTTGTATTTTGGAGACATAATGAAATAGGTAGCTGGGAATGTTATAATACGAGATGGAATCCATTCCTTCTTGAGAAAGAAGTAGATAAATAATTCTCTTGAGTGTTGATTCAGTACTTGGATTAGTAAGAGTGCTCTGGTTCATGAATGTGTTTTATGAATCACTATCCATTAGAGAATCAATGGTACTCAAGGATGCAGATATAATTAGAGAGGTTAACGGATTCTACCTGACTCTAATTATGAATTATTTATGGAGGATTGATCTATATGTAATGACTATATCAAATGGACACTTCGTAGTTTAGAAGTAATTAATGTCTATAATTTCGAGAGTTCAATTCCAAGTTTATAGTGGAGTAACTATTGAAATTAATATAATTAATTAATTAATTAAAGTGTTTAATTAATTATTAATTTTATTGGAGCTCGGGATTATAGGTCCATAAGTCCTCGCGTCGCCCTTGTAATTCTACCAGACACAAAGGGTAAAATGGGAATTTTAGAATTACGAAATTCTAAAATTAAATACTCAAAAAATAATTAATTGAGAATTTATTATTATTTAAATAATGTGATTATTTAAATTTAAATTTGAACACATCTAGATTTATCCATTTAAACTTATTTGATAAGTTGTTCAATTTAGAATTCAAATTAATTTAAGTTTGACTTAAATTGGAATTTGAATTTGAGTCAAAATTGGACTATAGGATAAATGATGATTTTTCTCTTCCTTTTCTATCAGAATTGGCGCCACACACAGGGTTAGAAAACCCTAAGGGTGGCCGGCCACATTAGGGATAATGTGAGGAAATTTTGTTGTTCAAAAATTCAAAATTGGAGATAGGGATTTGATTCTGTTTTGAAGTTTGACTTCTACTCTTTAAATATGAGAATGATAGAAAATTGTGAAAACAATTTTGACACAATTTTTTGATCCCTAATTGTTGGTGGCCGAATTTCTCATTGAAGAAAAAGAGAGTAAAAATATTTTTCTCCAAAAATTCCACATCGTGCATGCGTTGGTGTTTGTGGAAATTCGAGTGTTTAAGAACCCTGTTTTGTCTTATGTGTGCCCACACACATGTCTACGTGGAATCTAGGAATTGACGTGGAAGACTTTGGTATTCTAAACACCAAGATTGGAGCAAGGACCGTTCGTGGTCAAAGAACTCAAGATATCATCCGAGTCGGCTTCCAGGTATTTTTACGGATCGAGTTCTTGATATATAAATTAATGTGATTAATTTATTCGTGCATAAATTAATATAATCTATAGAGTATCTCAAAAGTTTTATGAAAATTTTTGTTATACACGATCCGCCTCCCCGCCACGCTTCCGCACCCGAATTCAATTCGGGAACCAGCAGGTTCCTGTTAGGCAAATAATTCGCACTCTTCGAGTCAGTGCCCAACTCCACAATAGGAAATTTACTTCATTCAACATAATTCCCAATTACAACCCTCAGCCTTTTATATTTTCTTCTCACCAAATTTCCCAGAAATGGAAAATAACACAATATCAAAAATGGTAATAACAGAAAATGGTTATGGAGTAAGGGAAGTAGTGCGCCTCTTCAACGTTGCTCAGCCATCACAAAATCCCTCAACCAGCGTGGCTTCACTCGCTTCCTGACCTCAACCCACCCCTCTCCAGCATTCTCTAATTCCCCTTTGGCTCCCTTGTTAACCTCCGATGCTAAACGACCTTCCCCTTCCGTCATTTCTTCCTGGGTGCCATCCAGGCCTTTTTCCCTTTGGGCCCCAGAAACAACCCACTTGCTCATCCTTTCATGGACTTGATTAAAGTCCAACAACACCTTGGTATCATTTCCCCCTCCCTAAAAAATGACCTTGTCCTCAAGGTCGGGGATGTCATATACTTGACTGAAAGCATGGAGCTCCTCCCAAGTGGCATCTTCGGGCGGGCTATGTGACCATTGCACCAAGACCTGTTTCTGTGTTTTGTGTTGAACTTCAGCGATCCTTCCCGCCAACACTGCCATTGGAGTAAGCAGAGGTTTATTAGCAAGACTGAGCTCCGGCAAGGGGTAACTAGCTACGGATCTGTCCCCTCTGAAAGCTTTCAACAACGAAACATGGAACGTTGGGTGAATTTTGCTTCCAGCAGGTAATTCAAGGGTATAGGCCACTGGTCCAGCGGTGGCTATAATCGAAAAGGGCCCAAAATACTGGCGGCAAAGCTTGGAGTTAAGACGAGCCGCCACGGTGGTCTGGCGGTATGGTTACAGCTTTACCAAGACTAAATCCCCCACCATAAATTGGATGTCACAACACCTCTTGTTGGCCTGTTGTCGCATTCGGTTTTGGGCGTGCTCCAAATTCTGCTTGAGTTGTTGTAGGATCGAGTCCCGAGTCAATAGCTCGTCCTCCACTGCCTGCGCTGAAGTAGCCCCACGCGTGTATGTCAGAATAGATGGTGGAAGTCTGCCGTATACAGCTTGAAAGGGGGTCATGCCAATAGCCGAGTGATGACTCGTGTTGTAATGGTATTTGGCCCAACTGAGATAGTGACTCCACTGCTTCGGGTTCTCGGATGTAAAGGCTCGGAGATACTGTTCCAAGTACCGGTTTGTGACCTCTGTTTGTCCGTCAGTCTGCGGATGATACGAAGAACTCATCTTCAGCTTGGTTCCCATTAACTTGAAGAGTTTCTTCCAAAAAGTACTTGTGAAGATAGGGTCACGGTCCGAGACCAGAGTACGCGGCATTCCGTGCAACTGAATCACCATGTGAGTGAAGAACTCGGCCACTTTTGAAGCCGAGTAATTTGTTGGAAGGGCTCCGAAGTGGGCGTATTTAGTAAAGCGATCTATGACCACCAATATGGCTGTGTTGCCTCTTGAATTGGGTAACCCGACTATGAAATCTAAAGCCAAATCTTCCCATACCCTCTCCGGCATTTCGAGGGGCTGAAGTAGACCACCCGGAGCCGCTGTGGAATACTTAATGGTTTGGCAGGTGACGCACTTAGCGACAAACTCCTTCACATCCTTTCCCGTCCCCTTCCAAAAGAAATTAGCACTGAGCCTCAAAAAGGTTCTCTCCACTCCTGCATGACCGCCCACCGGTGTTACATGAAACTCTTGTAGTAGCAGGGCTTTCAAGTTGGAGTCCTTACTGATTAGAAATCTTCCTTTATACATCAGGATTCCATCCCGTATATTGTAGCTAGGATCCTCCAATGTCCCTTCACGTAAGGTGGCCTGCAACTCCCTGAGATCCACACAAGCTTGGTTGTCCCGGAGTAAGTCATCCAGAATTCCATACCTGCCCGTTGAGATGGCAGCCCGGAGCTGAAGGTGAGAAGTGTCATGGCAACGTGACAGAGCATCCGCCGCGGCATTAGCAGACCCCGCCTTGTATTCAATGGAGAACTGATACCCCATCAGTTTCCGGACATAGTGTTGTTGTTCGGGAGTTTGGATAACCTGGGTGAGGAGCTCCCAGAGGCTCTTGTGATCTGTACGTATGATGAACTGCCTCCCAAGAAGGTATTGGCGCCATTTAGCTACTGCTTCGACCATCGCCTTTAGCTCTCTCTGATAAGCGGAGGCTCCCACCATGCGAGGACCCAATTTTTTACTAAAATACGCCAGCGGGTGGCCTTCCTGCATTAAAACTCCCCCTATGTCGGTATTAGATGCATCAGTCTCCACAATGAAAATCTTTGAAAAATCTGGTAAGTGTAAAACCGGGGTGTTTGTCATGGCCCTTTTCAGTTTTGCAAAAGCTTCCGTCGCCTCAACCGTCCACTTGAAGTTATCCTTTTTTAGCAACTCCGTTAGAGGCGCTACGATCGAAGCGTAGTGAGCGACGAATCGCCGGTAGTACCCTGTAAGACCAAGGAACCCACGTAACTGTTTAAGGTTCTTTGGCTACGGCCAATTCGTCATCGCCTCAATTTTTGAAGGGTCTGCCCGAACTCCCTCCCGGGATACAAGATGGCCTAAGTATTCAATGGTGCTCTGGAAGAAACAACACTTATTGCCCTTTTGCAAAAAAGTTATTCTCAGACAAGCACTGCAACACTAGCTTAAGATGCTCAGCATGTTCCTCTGCATGTCTACTGTACACCAGGATATCATAAAAAAAAAAACGATGACGAATCGGCATAGGAAGGGCTTAAAGACTTGATCATGGTTGCTTGAAAGGTGGAGGGCGCATTAGACAATCCGAATGGCATCACTACGAATTCGTAATGCCCCTCATGTGTTTGAAAAGCTGTCTTATGCACGTCTCGGTAATCCATCCGGATTTGGTGATAGCCAACCCTAAGGTCCAGTTTTGAGAACATTGCCGCTCCCCCTAGTTCATCTAGGAGTTCATCAATGGTTGGAATGGGGAATCGATCTCTAATTGTGATCCCGTTCAGTACGCGATAGTTGACACAAAACCTCCAAGAGCCGTCTTTCTTCTTGACCAACAGAACTGGGGACGAGTAGGGACTGTTACTGTGGCAAATGAACCCACAATCCAGCATTTCATTGACCAACTTCTCCATGATGTCCTTCTGGAAAAAAAGATAGCGATATGGCCTCACATTGACGGGGGTCGATCCCGGCTGTAGGTGTATCCGATGGTCGTAATTTCGGATGGGCGGCAACTGCATAAGTTCCTCAAAAACTTGCTGAAAGTGTTTCAAGAGTCCTTCTCCTACTACCGACAGTGTCTTCTCCAGTCGTTCCACCTCATCAGCCCCTAATTTTCTGCTCTCCTCCTTCAAACTAGACGTGGTGGTCAACCTAAAGATTCCCGTGGGCTCCCCTTCTAAGATCAAGGCGCTCAGTTGCGAGAAAGTGACCTGTTGCGCAGTCACTTTAGTGTTTCCTGCCAACTTAACTGGTTTGCCTTTCCACTGAAAGTCCATGGTGAGTGCACTGTGATCATGAAGGCACGGCCCGAGTGTTCGTAGCCACTGCATTCCTAGGACAACATCTAATCCCCAAATGGGAAGCACATATAGGTCCAACTCAAATTGGTTCCCTTGCATCTCTAGTCCCACCCCTGTACATTTCTTTTGACACACCAGGTGTTGCCCATTCCCCATGTAAACTTTGAACCGCCTAGTCCCCTCCCACTTAAGGCCTAATTTTTCCACTAACACCTCTTGGATAAAATTGTTATTGCTGCCAGTATCAATGAGTACTTTCAAACTTTTCTTGCCATGCCTAGCCATTATCCTAAATATACTAGGATTCACAGAATTAGAAAGGGTATTGAGACTTACTTTAATTTCCTCCTCCTCTGCGAGCTTGTCCTATTCCAGCTCTATGTCCTCTTGTTCATCAGCTCCCTCTTCATCCCCACACATAAGTAACACCCTGTTTCTGCACTTGTGATTGCTGTGATACTTTTCATCATAAGTGAAGCACAATCCCTTGTTCCTTTTCTCCTGCAATTCCGCCTAAGATAAGCGCTTGATTGGAATCTTGAACCCCCCAACGGGTTGATTTCCGGACCGTGTCACCATTATGCCCCCCGTAACACCTTGTGTGTTCGGATTGGACGCGATTGAAAATCCCCCCTGACTACCCTGAGCCGGTGTGTCTAGCTGCCTGTAGCCTTCCCTGTGTTGGGGAATCATGAGGTCTTCATTCCTATCCTTGACAATTGGGCCTTAGCCATAGCATCAGCCAGATCAAAGGGCCTTGCCATCAGAATTTCACAATGAATGTCATTTTTTAAGCCCCAAATGAAAAAAATTGAGAAACATGGCTTCGGATACACCTGTAATACGAGTCATGAGGTTCTCGAATTCTGCTCGATACTAAGACACCTTCCCAGTATGTACGAGCTTTGCGATTCTCCCGAGCGGATCATCGTAGATTGAAGCCCCAAATCTCTTGCGTAGTTCATGGAGGAACACCTCCCAACTCGTTAGTGCTCCGCCCTTCTCCATCCACTAGTACCACATTGAAGGCTCTCCGTCCAAGTGAAACGCCACTACCACCAGGCGTGTGGCTGGCTCGACTTGATGCAGACTGAAAAACTTATTGATCATGTAGATCCAATTCTCCACCTTCGTTCCATCGAAACGCGGTACATCTACCCTTAGAGTCTTCAGAAGTACCGTCATGTTGCCCGAGTGAACTTGCTGTTCAATTCGCGGTCCGCCAGCATGGCTAGCTTCCGCTACTGTACCATTAGGCCCCGCCGTGACCTCCGCCTTTGAAATCGGATCCCGTCGCGACTGAGGGAGCTGAGACAATCGCTGATCTGTACTCGCCATATGCTGCTCCAAAAGTGAAGAAAACTTCAAGAGATGTTCTTCCGCATGCTATTTGAAGCTTGCTTCCATGGCCTTCATCAGCTCTGCAACTTCCTCGTTCCTCATCGTCTCTCAATGAAAGCACCAATGTTAGGTAAATAATTCGCACTCTTCGAGTCAGTGCCCAACTCCACAATAGGAAATTTACTTCATTCAACATAATTCCCAATTACAACCCTCAGCCTTTTATATTTTCTTCTCACCAGATTTCTCAGAAATGGAAAATAACAAAATATCAAAAATGGTAATAACAGAAAACAGTTATGGAGTAAGGGAAGTAGTGCGCCTCTTCAACGTTGCTCAGCCATCACAAAATCCCTCAACCAGCGTGGCTTCACTCACTTCCTGACCTCACGCGAATCAGATGACCCCTCTCCAGCATTCTCTAATTCCCCTTTGGCACCCTTGTTAACCTCAGATACTAGACGACCTTCCCCTTCTGTCGTTTCTTCTTGAGTGCCGTCCAGGCCTTTTTCCCTTTGGGCCCCAAAAACAGCCCACTTGCTCATCCTTTCATGGAAAAGTCCAACAGCACCTTAGTATCAGTTACCCATACTATAACCCAGAGTATTCAAATTTGGCATGTGGTGTGAACTACGGAATGTTCCGGCCTTCAAATGGGCACTAGAGGAAGGAATGTCGGAGTTTGCCCATAAATTAACGGGTTGTTGTAATAATGTACTACAGGAAATTGTTGGTTCTCATAGATTTGGAGTGAGGTTGTAAGCTTTTCACAAGAAAACATTTTGTAAAGAGTGCTTCTTTGTTTCCAGCCATTTCTTATAAGTTGCTAGAAAATGAGGCTTTGTTTGTCCCTGGGTTTTCGGCGAATGGTTGAAAAGGGCAAGGTTGAAATAGAACGGCTATACTTTTAGCCGCAATTTGCGGCTGCGGTTTCTCCTTTGCTTCCATTTGATGCTGCTTGGTGCAGGTCCCGACCTTGCTACTTTGCCATGCACCAAAATAAGTCTGTTGTATACCTCAAAGCTCTAGTATAAATTTATTCAAGTAATTAGATAAACTGTCTAATTTTGGGACAAGTTTAAAATCTCTCCTTTTTCTTAATATTATGATTATATTAATCAATGCAATCTTCAACTAGGCGGCGGTCAAAATATAAAGCTTCTGATTTTGTGAGTGTACAAAGTGACTTTAATGCTCGAAGATGTATTTCTATGATCTCCCGATCCACAAATGAAAAGACCCGTACAAAATTTAGAAGGAGCTGGTCACCATCAAAATCCATGGCGTCAAGGTCACAACTAGCGCCGCACAGGGGAGCGAGGCCCGTCGGCAGTGAACACACAGGGTGATGTCGCTATAGTAGTTGTATGTGAGTGATCTTATTTTAATTTAGCACTCCTATATGTTTTTTGATCGTCAGATTTGATCAAATGATCTTAATTAGCATACTCTATCAGTAAGGAATTTTGACTCACTACCATAGGTGTTCCCAAAAAATAAATGAAACATAGGAAACACATGACATGTCCTCATGAACGATGAAGTGAATTGTTTATTTAATTATTTCTTTTCCATAGGAAAAGATGCTGATTGGTAGGACTATGACATATATTTATTATCTTTGCTCTCGCAGTAGGAATATTTGAAAGTGACTCTTTGCTTATTCAAAAAAAAAAAAAAAAAAAAAAGAAAGTAACTCTTTTTAGGTGTTTTAGGTGACTATGTGTACATTCTCTTGAAGTTATTTGCAAGGTTGTTGAGCATTTATAATACTTGTCCATTAAGCTTGAATCAGCAACTCTATTTCGAGTGATTTCTCAAACTAATATTCTATATTTTCTTTGTTATTTTTATTGCTCTTTGTTAAACATTAATAAACTATTAGTTAATTTCCCTACTGCTCTTGTGCAAGGTGGATCCCACAGAAAGTGACAAACTATTACTTATTTCACTCACCAATTTCTACTTAAATTACTCTGACGAATTTTTACATTTGCTTTGCCCTTTTAAATATTTTCCTATATGCTATATATTATTTAGATGTAACACGCGGCTTGGAGATTCTGAATAAATAAATAAATAAATATATATATAAGGAAGTAAAAGATTAAAATTTTCATGTCCAAATCAAATGTAATAATCTTAATTAGTATGCAGTGGCTTCATGTTGTTTCTCACATTTTGTTCTTTATAAAAATTTTGTTTTTGCAGCAACTACAAGGGAAAAGACGATTTTTTTTTTATTCCCTTATTACACAAAACTAGTAGAATTTACAGCAATACATACATAGTCTTAAAATATGTATGTATATAAGTGATTTTAATGGTTACTATATTCACTTATTACACAAAACTAATTACAACAGTACATAGTCTTGAAATATATATATATTGATCATGGTTGCAACTATTGAGTAGTTGATAAAAATGTGTATCGATTAACTAGATTGGATTTTTTATCATGTCATATTATTAAATTTTTATATTTAATGCATAACTAATGATTAAAAAGTAACCTTTGAAAACTAACTTAAAACAAGGGCCAATGTGGAGTCAAATTATTTGCTCGAATAGAAACGAATACTTAAAAACTTACAACGCCGGCCTCTTCATGTCTGTTGAATATCTTGGATTTCACATGCTCGTTATTTTCCTTCTTACAACGTCGTTTGGGGCTGGAAACTGGAAAGTGAATATTGTCCTTTAACACACAATTTTCTAACCATATGAAATGGTACAAAATTGATTTTCCCATCCAATATGTGGGCAAATGCGAACAACTTAACTTCAAATCCGTTGAACAAGTGACTAGGAGGCTCTATATTTTTGCCATGTCAAATATAATTTTGACTTAGATTAATTTGAAAGATCCGCCTACCTATATATAATAAACTAACTAAATTCCACTAATTATAGGTCAAAACAAGTACAAAAATACTTATCCTGATTAGAAGGTAATATATTTAAGTGTGGAAAACCTTTGTATACCGGTTCAAACTTTCCCTCTTGTCCTTGCTTATTGATTCATTCAAGCTTGTTGAATATTTAATATTATATATATACATATATATATATATAGATGAGAAGAAAAATAAGAAAAAACCAAAACGCAACAGTCAACAGTCAAATTCTAACAACATAAAATATATATACAGCTGAGAAAGGATATAATAAAAATATGGTATCACCACACCCCTATAAATACTATAACTACTCCTCGCATGAACTAATTGTTCATATACTTTGTTCAGCTAACTAATTTTTGATACTAGGTACGTATTTCTATCATGGGGCTTCTAAACATAGCTTTGGCAATTCTGCTTCTCCTTGTTCTTGTACATTCGGAACAAAGCAGTGCTAGTAGGGTACTGAATGATCACAAGGAAGGGCTAGTAAAGGAGGAGAAATTAGGGTTAGGGTTTCAGTCCCTACCGAGGGGTCCGGTCCCTCCATCTGGGTCGTCCGGTTGTACCTACATCCCCGGGAGTGGAGGACCGAACTGTCCGCTTGGTGAGAAGCACTATGCCGGTGATCATGCCACCGGTTATCCACGTCACATGGTCCGGCTTGGTGTGGCTGCTAGTAGAGATTAGGTTCAAGAGAATTATCTTTGTTGACCATTATATCAACTTAGAAGATTAATCTTGGCCCTAATTGTATTTGTGTTGTATAGGCCTTTAATACAATAGTTAATAAATAATTTTTGATTATTTTGTCCCCTTTTTATTTGGTTGCTCATCCTTTTTGTACATTAATCTAATGTATTCTTTAGTCTCTCATTCTTAAGATGTGATAATCATTAGTTGTTTCTTGTGTAAGAGAGAGTTCGTAAATTTGACGTTACTAATCAATAATATTGTCTGATTCATAACTTTCAAAAAACTTTTCTTTTTTGGCGAGTATATAATAAATACTGGTTTATAGCATATATTAATGTCTCTATTGTGTGCTCAGAGGTTAAATAGGTAAAATTTTTCTAAGATTTAATTCAGATACATTAAAGGTTGGTTTCATGGAGAAAGGGAAACAATTTTGATTTATATACCAAGGTGGGAAACTTTATTTTGACCGGAACTAGTCAAATTATTCGAGCTACCAAATTAGCATTTGAATATCTAAGAAAAGGGCCTTTTACTTTCAATTTATTCTTTCAATATGATGTAGATATGACATCATGTTAAGTGTCTAAGCTGAAATTCGCATGTGTTTTGCGTGAAATGGTTGCCCTCAGCTGTAATTAGAGCACCATCATCATTTATAGCATTTTCTTGACTTATATGTAATGCAGCGGAATGAGTAGAATGAGATTTTACCAGCTTAATTCGAACGGAATATGAGACATGTAATCCTAATCTACCTAAAAGAAATCCCACAAGAAAAAAAAATCTCTAAATTAGAGAGAAAACACTCAAATTTTATATTCAATTATCAAAATATTCAAGTCTCTTAATATCATTTATATATTTTGTTCTTTATGAATAAATTTGTATGTGTTTTGGATTATTGGCAAAGAATTTTAAAATGGTAATGGATTGAGATTTTCTCAATCTGCAATTGTGAATTGAGCATTGCTCAATATACATAATTCACCGATCCGAATTATAATATTATATGTATATATATGTGTTTATATATAATTTTTAAATAACTATATACGTAACTTATTTTTTTTCAATTATATAATTCATATATATATATATATATAATCCAAGTATATAAGTATAGAATCTCAATTCTTTCTTCTACTATAGATTAGTACAAAGTCCAAGCCCAAATTAATATCTGGGCGTTGATTTACTTTAAAGTAATGTTGATGATTGATGAAGACTTTACTTATTGAACTTTGTTTGTTATTATTGATTTGAATTTTACGTTTTAAATTATTTTTAAAGACTTGAACTTTATGTTAACTTCTGTGTCAAAAATTTGAATTTTATGTTTGATTGTGTGTTGTAGTGATTTAGATTTTGTGAAACTATTTTAATTTTATGTTATGTTAGTTTTGTTTAATGTTGTTATTAATTTTCTGAGAATATTAAAATAAAAAAGATGGGCTAATAGAGTTAAGGCCCAAAACGTAGCTAAAATGCACAATTTAATCCGCGGAATCTGTTGCATATTAAATTAGATTGGATGTTTAATGGATGGATAATGGATTGAGATTTTTTTCAATCTGCAGTAACATATTGAATTACTGATTGATCCCCAATCTATATAATCTGATCCGCGAACACTTCTAACTGTTAGTCCGTGAATTATAAGCTTGTATTATTTTAGTCATTGAACTTTTTATTTTGTTGAAAAGATATTACATAGTAACTACATTTTATTTTCTCGGAAGTAGTGACATTAAAGGCAAAATATTTTCTTATTACCTCCTTAAAAACTAAAATATTTTGGATCTGATGCATATTCTTATAAAAATTTCAGTTATTATGTGATTGAGACGTGAATTATCTCTAAAAAAATTTGGAAATTATTCGTCAATTTTAGTATTGACTAGAACTGTAAAAAAAAAATCAAACTTCAAACAGTAATTTGCTAAAATCAAAAAGAGTAATTCGCCAATTTTATAAAATTAAAAATTTAGATATCAAAAGGACACAATAATTATAACTCAAAGATTAATAGTGTTAATAACTTTTTTCCTTAATTAATATGACTTTTGCTATTGCTATATGGTAGTGGTACGTTATACTAGT